CCCCCCCCCCCCCCCCCCCCCCACCCCCGGCACTGCAGGCACACAGCTTTCAACTTAATCCTGAAGGAACCTGGCAAGTAAAAGATCCGGGATCCTTCCTTCTGACATGTGTGGCTTTCTTCTTCCCAGCTGGAGACTTGGCATAGCAAAGGGGTCCCTGGATGATGTTATGGCTGGGTGAGGATCACAGATTGCTCCCATTATTTTTGTGGACCAATCTGGCAATAGCTGAACACACTTTATTTATTGCAATCTGGAGATACTCCTCAAGTGAAAAGTCGTAACTTAGATATTATGTGAGTGCACTTTGCACCTGTTTTACTGCTTGAACACATGTTTTCTCACATTGTAAGTGTATTTAACACCTGCCAAGTGTAGTGTGAGACATTGCTCTTGTTTATACTTTGAATGTAGAGATAGTAATGAATTACTGCTTCTTTTCTTATTGAACTCCAATGGGAGTTTTGCTAACGTTGCAGTGAAAATCTGCACATAAGGCAGAAAACCCACGCATAGGACAGAGTCCCACTTTATGGCGGGTCTTCGCAGGAAAGAAGCTGAGCATACATGACTAGAAGCCCTGTCACTTTGTCAGGGGGTGGGGGGGACAAGGCATCTCTCTATTATTTTGATGCAGACATGTAAAGAGCTACTGCAAATTTTAATAGACTGTGTGGGAGAAAGAAATCCTCCTACCTTATTTCTCCCTTCCCCATCCTGTATCATTCTAGCCTCTGTCCTATCTAATAGGTTGGAATGTGGCCAAGAGGATTTGGCCCACAGGGAACAAAGGACATTTTTATTTGTTTAGTTAGAAGTTATCAAAGACACATCATATTTAAATATTGTATTGCACCAGCCCTTCCCCTCCCCCCATGTCAAAAGAAATTTAAAAAAAGCATGTAGCAGCCTGGGGAAACCCACATGGAAAATACCAGACCCCTTCTGCTTCTTGAAAGCAGAGAACTGAGTAAGGATATGCTTACAGCAGCTCCCGTCAGCAGCCTTCCTCTCCATTTCCATGACAACATAGTAGATTTGCCAACATGGAGCGAGAAGGGAGAAGTGTCTAATATAACTGTTTCCTCTGTATAGCATTTCCCATTTGCTAGCAAGACCACAGTTTTCACTGCCACATATTGTATTTCTGGTTTCAGTTCCCTTATATGCACAAATCCCCAAGCTCAGAAAACTACAAACACAGGTCAGGCCTGCCAACATATTACGCTCCTGTTCAAAGTGGCATTTCTAGTACTATCTTCAGCATTTTAAATCAGGCTGGTCAATCAGGTAGAACTACACTGTCGTACCCATACCTCCAGGAAGCATTGATTGATGAGCTTAACACGTCATCTGAGACAAAGTCTTTAGTCATCTGGTTATTTTTTTAAACATGTTTATAGAATACCCTAGCTGAGAGGATGTGCCAGGATGCCTGTCAATCAGAAGAAATGATGGTTGAAGGGGGATGATGCCTATATATTCACTCAAGAACAGTTTTTCTTCCAGTGTTAATGGTTAGGTTTATATACAATGTATTTAATGTGTTCAGCTTTTATAACATGAATGAAAAAAGAAGGGATCAGTTAAGGTGTGCCTTTCCCCTCTCGAACACTCAGCTCACTGCCAGTTTTTGTTCTCACAGTTACTCATGGCCTTCTCATAGCTTACACAAAAGAGGAAGGTGAGCTGGGAATGGCAGGTGAGAACTAAAGTGTCTAGCAAGTGTGGAAGTAACCCAAACACCCAAGTCAGGCAGGCCAGACACTGAGGAGACTATGACTCCAGGTGCCTGGAACAACTGCAAAGCAGAGCACACCTGAAGAAAAATCAGCAGTCAGACCACAATTTCCACCTATCTTAAAGGAGGGAGAAAGGATCACTATCCCATGGACATGACAGTAAGCAGCATAATATCAGTACAGTTAAACAACTGCATGCTACATCGCGTGGTAACGCAGCCCACCATAGCAATAGTTGTCTTCACTTTTTGTACAGCCTTCCCTGGAAAGGCTCCCTTCTGACAGCTGGGTTATGAAGAGGTTAAAGCCCCTGCCCAGTGTTTTACAACTGGTCAGTGGCAAATTTGAGAGGGGAAGCCAAATCAGACAAGTCCCAGGACCATGCCCTAGACCACGGGTCAGCAAAATCTGGGGGGAAGAGTGCCAAAAACACCTGCAACCTTGACTTGTAAGATATTGGCGTGCCAGAGTTGGATGACAGGGAAGCCATGAGGGGCTCAATCCTTGTTGTGGCAGCGCAGCCCTGGCCCCTTCCCCATTCTCTGCCCCAAGGAGTGTGTGCCAAGCAAAATGCCTTTGTGTGCCACATTTTGGCACTTGTGCTGGGCTGTTGCCTGCCTCTGCCCTTGGCTATTTTGTGCTGCCTGCCCATGTGCAGAAAAAGTAATAGAGCTGGTGTATAGTTGGTCTCAGCTATTAAAGGGCTCACCTTCCTTTAAATTTTGTGGTAATTATAAGGGAGAAAAGGCCTTCATACAGAAAAAAAACACGTAGAGAAAGGTTTTGTGTTTTGTGGGATGGTTCTGGAGTATGACAGCATGGTGAAATGAGACAATAATTAAATAACTGTCTCCATGTTGTTCCATGCCTTTGATCCTACTACCAGTGCCCCCTAGAGAACTTGGAATTATGCTTTTTTGTCCAAGGAGGCTCTTTCATTTCCCCTACCCGGGGCAGATCTGGAAGGGGTGCAGTGGCATGGCTGCACCCCCCTTTCAGATTGGTATGTGCTGCTGGAGCCTCTGGGGACTTTAAAGAAGTCCCCAAAGCAAAAGAGAATCTCACCTCTCCCCCCACCCTATCCCGCCCCCATCCCCTCCAGGCTCAGAGTCATGTCCCTTCCTCTTCCCTTCTTCCTTTCTCCACTCTCCTGGGGATGGGGGAGAGCTGCTCTTGCCCACTTCAGCTGAGCTGTGCGGGGGCTGATCTCACTTAGGACAGTGACTGGGGCTGCAACTTCCCATGCCTGCTCCTGGCAGTGTGGGGGAACCCAGCCCCTCCCCATTGCTGATGCTGTTGATCCCAGATAAGTCCCCACACAGCCTGGCAGGAGCAGGCAGGAGTAGCTTTGAAGCATCCCATTGTTGGGATAGCAGGAAAAACAGCAACTGGAGGAGGGAGGCAGAAGAGGAAGGGAGGGAACATGCCTTTGAGCACAGAGAGGAAGGGAGTTTTCTTAGCCTCTTTGAGAACTTTAAAACGTCCCCAGAGGCTCCTTCAGGGTGGTTCCCCTCCTCTCCCAACCTGTGGGTTGGGAGGTAGAGGCTGGGAAGAGGGGCACAGCCACCCCTGCCATATGAGTGGCTGGTCCCAACTCCCTTCTTCCCCCCCCCCGACCCTTGCCAAATTCTGGATCTGCCCCTGCACCTACCACCTCATGTAAGAGGTCCCGTGATGAGAACAGCAGCTCTCCAGTTCTCTTATGCTTTGGACCCATTTATAGTACTATACATTTCTGCTAAAGGAAAGAGGATGGTAGGGGGTGTCCCATGGGATGGAAATGAAGCATTTCACTTTCCCTAAAGGGCTGAATTATATTGCTTCTAGTGATCCACACCACTCAGTCCTAATTCTTTTTTCTTCATTTGCCACCAGGCCAACCATCAACTTTTGAGCCTTTTCCTTTCCATAGTGCCCTTGTGTGAATGTTTGCTTGATTTTCAGGGCTAGGGACAGATATTCAAAAAAGCCTGAGTCTGAATTGAATTAATCTTTGCAGGTTAGTCTAACCTGCCTAGATTGAATAAGTTTGCAACTGCACAGACATTCTCTCTGGACTGAACAAATGCAGGCACATGCCTTCAGTGGCTCAGGCTAGAAGCCAGGAGGTACTAGAGCAGCCCTCCCTTCCCTTCAACAGTGCTGAGTGGAGGGGAGGGAAGGGGTGTGGCCAGGCCACAGCAGGACGCTTTGATTAAGGAGGGTTGTAAACCCTGACCCTGGCCTACACAGTCCCAGGCTTTTCCCTGCTTACTTCTCAAGGGACAGAATGGTTGTCAGCTGTCAGCCCCTCACCCCGGCAAAGGGAAAGGTATGTGCAGTGTGCACACCCCATGAGGCAAAGGGGGGGTGCAGTGCATGCATCTGTTAATGATATTGACCTTTTCAGTCTCCCTTTCCCTGCTTCTTCATACTGTCTGCAAACCTGACAGGTAAGGGAGCCAGTGAGGGGCTGATAACATAGCATTTATCAGCCCATCAAAAAAACTTGCCTTTCCCATTAGTTCAAGTTCTTCTTAAGCAGCTTTTTCCAAGGAAGGAATGGAGGGACATTACCAGCTGACCTGTTGATTAACTTCAAAAAGCCCTAAGCGGACACTGTTTTGTCTGCCTGTCCCAGTGAAATTGGAGACACACACACACAGACACCTCTCAGCATTAGCTAGCATACCACATGCCTAGGGTCCATGGGGCTGGGGGTCCGTGCTGTGAGAGATGGGAGGGAGGGAGGGAGAGGGGAATACCTGCTTGAGCAGCAAGCAGCAAAGCGGGAGGTGGGGGGGCAGGGGGAAGCCAGGCAGCTCATTCTGTGCCTGCAGTCTCTGCCAGAGCTCTGACTAGGGGGCAGAGGGGCAGAGCCAGCCCTGCTCTTTGAAGCACAGCACAGCCCAGGGCTGCAAAGCATCTGGGATGCTAGGGGACTCTGGTTTAACTTAAACCAGGAAGGGGTCTGGGACAGACATTGCATAAACTGGTTTGACCCAAATCAGTTAAGTCTGATACTACATTCAGCCAGGTTTATCTTAAATCAGTTTCAGCCATTTTGAAATGGTTGTATGTGCACTGAACTTATGTTCTGTTACAGGTTTAAACCAGTTTCTGATCACTTAAACCAGTTTATGTGTAATGTCTGTCCCTAGCCCAGAAGAGCACTGAAAAATTCTCCAAACCTTAGTCCTGCCTCATAGGCTCATTAATCACCTCCTGTCTCAAATTAAAAACAAAAAGGCAGCATAGAGCCTCAAGTCCAGTCCCCTGCATTCACAGGCAGTAATTTTTGTCCAAACCCTAAAAATTGTCCTCTTACACATCATGGCTACAACACACTTCATGGAAACAAAACTGAAAACATTTTACAGTATTCTACAACTATAAAGCAGGAGACAAGGGCACTCCAGTGCCAGCCACAGCAGTGGCAGAGACATTACTATGTTCCCATCTGCTTAGATGACCCCAGGAAGAGGACTAGGCTTTGCACTGGAAAGCAAAACTAATTCTTATTTCTACAGGCATTGAATCTGTTTCTGTGCTGAGTTTCTGAGGGTTCAGCACACAGCAGCTAGGTTACTCTCTCATTCCTGTAAGTGGGTCATGCCATCTCCTTTCTCTGAGTATTTCCAAGCCTCCCCTGATTCCCAAAAACATTCCATGACCTAATTCCAACCTCCTGATGCCAAATCTACTTACTGCCCCCATGCTCACTCTACTCTTCCAGTCCTCTCTCCCACTTTACCCCCCTCCCTGAGCCTGTATTGTTGACCCTAAACCAGAACGCAGGCCAGTCTGCAGGGCAGGATGTGCTGCACGTATAAAATGTGCTTGATCCCAGTCTGTTACTGGGTATTCTGTACTTACTAATCAGTTCAATATCTGATACAGGATGTTCTACCTCTGATGTGGTCTTCCTGGATATATAAGGATGGACTGGGTGATCTAGCAAATAGGTTTTCTTTCCTATCTCTAATCCTGAGGATGCTACTGCAAGTATTTAAAGATTAGCACTTTCTGCAGCTGTAGGCAGAGTAACTGACCCTTTCCTCTAGTGTCTGGAAGTATCTCCCTCACATGGTAAGCCACTTACATTAAAAATTGCAGATTAAACCCCCCAAAAGGCAGAGACTCTCAAAGACCATACAGACTGGTTATCTTGCCAATATCAGACACATCAATATTAAAACATATTTCACTTTCTCTTCTAGGGTTCATCTGTATGTCAAGTGACAAGTATAGGAGTGACCGTTATACTGCTTTATACCTCACGAGCCTGTTACAACCTTTTCATCTTATCTTTTTCTCAAACCAAGAAAGTCAATTCTTTTGATTATGACTGGTACAACGTATCAGATCAGGCAAGTATGAAGATTACAGCTAAGAAGGAAAACCAATTTTGCATGCTGATTAACTCCTGATAAGAAGCACTGTTGCACAATTAGTAATGCAAAAAAATCCTTTCAATTCATTTTTAAAATTCAATGCTCTAAGTTTCTTCTGTCCCAGAAACAGGAACCACAATCATAAAACTATAGAGAAAAAATAATTTATTTATAGGAGAAAAAGCAGTCAAAAAACCACCAATCCACCTGCTTCCCCCACCTCCCCCTCCTAGCTCAGGGTGGGCAAACCCCAGGCATCAGCTCTCTCCCACTCCCTCATTCTCCTTTCTCAGACAGCAGCAGAGGTGGGCTGGGACTGGGCTGGGACTAACAGAAGTTACCTAAGGGGTTCTGCTTTGGAGCACCTTCATTTGAACCCTCATTGGATGACAGTTAATTTGTCGTGCAATCAGCCTCTTTCAAAGCACTCTGTAGCCATGCATTTCTGTCACAACCTGGCTGTAGAGTGCTTTCAGGGGACCGATTGCACAATAAATGTCACTTCTGTCAGTGCCCATTGTTTACATCACTTAAAGGTGAAGAGGTTCCAGTGGATCTTTATCTATAAGGGTTGGCCTAAAAGTGAGGGCAACACAATTCAGTGGGTAGCCCTATATCCAAGCTGCTTTCCTGTTTGTTATGCTTCTCCTCAGCTGCCACAAGGACAGGAAGGCACTCACCTACATAAAGGCCTATTGCTTCTGCCTACCAGAGGCCTGGACCGTTGCAGTACATGCTGCCTGGTATTGAAGACCACTTGCAAGAGTGCATTACCTCCTCTGATGGTATCAGAATAGCCTGTGCCTTTAACTCAGGTGGTCCTTGCATTAGTTCCCAATGTGTCAGCCAAGAGGGCAGCTATCATGCTACCATAAGACACTTGTAAAGCCTCTGGTGTTTTAGGAACTCAGAACTTATTAATAACTAGGCTAAATAGTAAATAATGGTTAGTTGTTTTGGGTATATTACCTCTTGGATGACCAATTACAGCTGTCTTAAAGAGATCTGAGGTGGGGCACCCAAAAATCAGTTTTTTCTGAAAGTTTAGGTCATCCTGTGCATTATGGTCCTGTCCAGGGAACCCAGCTGAAGTCAATCCCTGCTTTTCTGAGGTGCTGTACAAGGATACAATCCCATCTCAAGGACTGTATCGAACAGCAGCAGGAAGACTGGGAAGGAATTCAAAGATAACACAACAATTGCTTAGACTAACAATGTGCACAGTTTGGTAATGTCAGATCTTTTAAATTTAAAAGCTGAAGAGTCAGCTGTGCCCCCAGAAGTGCTGTGCAGTGCTTGGACCCCTACACTCTTCATCAACTACAAGAAATGACAAAGCTAGCTTCTCATTTTCTAATGCAGCTGTGTCACTTTCCCAGCAGTCTCAGCTTGGCAGGCAGCCACTGTGCTCAGGTCTTGGGTGGGGAGGGGCGAGAGGGGAAAGTCTTGGCGACAGCCTTGGGTGCGGAGGGGAGAGAGGGGAAATCAAGGAAGATAATCATGAAAAGGAAAAACAAAAAAGAGGCAAGTGAAAACTGTTCAACAAAATGCAGAGTTTGTTTCTTTCCAAATGGGTTATAATAATTAAGTACTGATAGCTAGGCTAAGTTGTTGCTTTTCTTTTTTAGGAAAAGCTAACTGTTTACATACAGTTCACCGTTAGCAAGCTCTGTCTTGTCATGGGTTCTAACAGTTTGTAACCTAACTTACATTCTCATTTCTAATCACAAGCCCTGTCTGACTTTTCAACAGGCAGATCTCAAGTGTCAGCTGGGAGATGCTGGGTATGTCGTATTTGGAGTGATCCTTTTTGTCTGGGAGCTGCTGCCCACTTCTTTAGTTGTGTATTTTTTCCGTGTTCGAAATCCTACAAAAGACCTTGTGAGTAAAACCAGTTTGCACCTTTTGTAGGTACAGCTTTCCGAGTCCAATTTTATAGTTAGCTTTTACTGCTCCACATTTTTATTTCTCGTTTTCTAACTCTTCTCACTAAAAATAAAACAAGTGTTCTTGAGCATCTAGCCTTACCACTTCCTCTTAAACAAGTCTTTGCCTTATGGGAGATTAGATAGCAAAGGAGTGTGGGCACAGATTACAGACCCTTCCATTTCTGCAGTGTTAATGCAAATCCCGCTAAGTGGCATAATGATGGTCTCAGCCTAATTCCCCTTGAAAAAGTTAACAAGTCTCAAAAAGCCACCACTACACTTGGTGCTAGCTGACATCTTTGATTGCATATTAAGCAACATGTAAATGTCCATAAAATGAAATGATTGAGGATTATAAGAATACCTTGAACTTAAGGAGAGTGCCTTAAATATTTTCTGCTGCCTGAAGGTCTCTCCATGTTGATTTGGGATATGTCAATATGTAGGGAAATAATTTTCACTACTATTAGTTGGTATAGTTCCCATCCTATAAAAAAGAAGGGTTTAATCTCCAAGACTACTAATTTTTTTTTTAAATTAACAATCCTAACAGGTTAATTAAGTCCCTTTTATCAGGCTATAAATTTAAGAGACAATGATACAACCAAGCTGAACAAAGAAGTAGTAAGTCTCTATGCACTTTAACTCTAGAAGGATTTTTCATTCACTGGCTTTCTCCTAGAAAATTGTCCTGGCTCTGTTCCTTAGAGTTAGCTGTGTTAGATCTCAATAATCCTGGACTTTGCACTGCAAAGGAATTAGCATTGCACAAAAAATGCACTGATTAGTAGGTGGAGCCAGTGGTGCTGTTCTTTTAATGTTAAAATATTAATTGAAGCTTATTTTATTTATTGATAGAGGGAAAGATATTTTTGTTTCACTCCTACATTTAGGATTATATGAAATAGATTCACAAAAGCCCTCTGGTTCAGATACGAGGGAGTACATGTTCTTCATACATGGCAATGCAGGGTCTGACCTGTGAGCCCACTACTCACAGGAAATCATACCGAAGTTAAACATTACACAAGATGGACTATATACTCTTAATAAAGATCAGAAGAACACCATAGCAGCCAACACATTAGCTACCCTTTTAAAGGCTTGTCTAAATAATGCCGGTCCTACCACTTGAGAAGTTTGCTAAGGATGGAGCTAGGATGAGCTAGTTAATTCTTATTTGGACAATCCTGTGGCTTCAGCTTATTTTGTTTTGCAGTTCAACATTTAACTAGATGCCACAGTTTTGTTTTGGGTAGGAAAAAAAACCAGACTGTGCTGATGGATGTACTCTTGAGCAGAAAACCAAAAAAAAGCAAGTGTGTTAAAACAGACAGGCTCATTAAAGCTAAACCTATAAATTCTCAGTATCAGAGTCAACAAAAGTCTTATTCCCAGATTCTTCAGCAGAGCAACAATATGAGCTTTCATGCACGTGTGTCACAAGAGGGGGAGATGTAGTTAGCCGTGTTAGTCTGAAGAGGGAGTCCAAGGATTCCCATAGCATTGTATTCTAATATAGAACTACATATTGCAGTTGCTCACCTTCTAGAAAGAAAAATTACAAGCTAGATGATTATCTGTTAAGGGTGAAGTTAAAACCAAATGTGTCTGTTAGTTTGGAAGATCTAGAAAACAACTCAGATTTAGTGAAATACCAACTTGTTGTTCTGCTTTTCAGATTTAACAAAGGTTTTAATTAAGTAGAAATATCCTAGGGAGATTTGTTATGTTTTGCTTCTCCCAACATGTTGCTCTCCAAAACGGAACACTAGAAAATGGTGGTTTTGGGCAGTCTCAGGCATTGTTCAGAAATAAAAGTTGTGAGTTCAGTTTTGTCAGGGCACAACTCTTGATTTGCCGTCTACATTGTTAATTGCCAATGGACAGTAAGTACAGTAGTCTTTCCCCAACATTCAAAGGAGCACCAACATGCAAATGTTCAGGAACTAAGTGGTGGGGCTACTGCTGTTACTGAGTAAGGGTTTCTTCCCCCAGACAAACCCTGGAATGGTCCCAAGTCATGGATTCAGCCCAAGATCCTACTTCTTTGACAACCCTCGCAGATATGACAGTGATGATGATTTGGCCTGGCACATTTCACCGCAAAGTGTACAGAGCAGGTGAGAAGAAGAGTGAACAGTTCAATTTTTGCTCTGGATATGGCTAGAGAAGGAAGGGATTGTTATCTGTCAGGCTACTGTAAAACATTATACTCATTTTAATGTAATGCTCTCAACCAACTCATGATACTATCTGGAGGTCTTTGGAAAGGAGAGGGTACTGTCGGGGACAAACTCGGTGAGTATGTGCACGTAGGGCTACAGGAAAAGAGCGCCAAAATGGCTGTATAGAAACACTGAGAGAACAGAATGAAGTTATTTTTAAGTTCTTAAAAACCATTACATTGTAAAGGAGCGTGCCAGCCTCCTAGAAGGCAGGACCTAAATCTCTCCTTTCAGTTTTGAGCTTGACCATTTAAGAATAGAAAATATAGAACTTGCACTTCATGTGCCACTAAGGATTTAAGCCTGAGAGCAAGATACATTGGGATAGGAAGCAACAAATAAACAAAGGTAAATCACTATTTGTTGTGGTGGGATGAAATGTGAAAGGGGGGCTTTGAGTACTGACTGTTCTGGTGGGATGGAGCCTTGAGGAGTGGAGTGCCAGGGTAAGTGGTGCTTGAGAGTTTATTAAATCAGACCCAGGAAGATAGACTGTATTGTGATACTTCAGCTCCCCACCAAATTGACTACATGAGGCAGGGGAAAGAAACAGGAGCACCTAAAGAAAAAATAACTTTTTCATAGCCAGTTTTGTGTACTACGTGTGCAATTGAAGCAGATCATCACATACTCACCAGGGATGCCAGCTCAGACAAGACAAGGTCAAATGCAATAACCTTCCCACTTGGATCACTTGTACCTTATTTTAACCAGTTTGTTGCAAAGCATTTTTGTCACAAAGAAAAAGGCTACTCCCCACAGTAACAGAAGATCATAAATAATCTTGCCCAAGTAGATTGTTGGCTGGCTTTAGTGCTGCTGACCTTTGGGAATCTAGCCCTGAATATTTGGGACTAAATTTACCGGAGGAACAGTGAGGCTTAAACAGATTCAATTGCTTTCACTAGATTCAAAGACACTTATAACCAGAATGGAGTAGAAGAGAGAGCCTAAACCACTTAAGTGGCATTAGCTTTACCATGGTTTTGAAAAGTTGCACAGGTCTGATTTCCTAAATGTTCAAATCGTATTTGAATCAAAGGTCAAACCCCTTGAGCTATTCAGCCTATGGCAGTTATTTTCCCTGGGTTCAGAGGTTCTAAGAAAAATGATCAGAAGATTGTGATCAGATTCACATGAAAAGTTAGACACCACTACTCTTGTTGTAAATGTAGATGAAGAGATGAAAGAGGGTTTCCTGTGTATAATTTATCACAAAAGAAGAATCATTCATTAAAACCTGGAGTTCATTTGCAGATATAGCTATAATTAAAAGCAGTGGGTCTAATTCCTAGGGGACATAAATTGATGTAGGGCCATCTAGTCAGTCATCAATTTCTGTATGGAGTTATAATTGTTTCACCCCCTGCTAAAGACATCAGGCCATATTTTTATAGGTGTAAACATACAATTCAGAGGTTGTGTCTACATGTTCATTCATGCTCCATAATTACGGTGCATTAAGTTTAGTAGCTGTAATAACAGGTACTAACTTAATGTGCCATAATCAGCACTACTTAGCATTAGTGAAGATGAATGCTTTTTGTGTGACATTTAATGTGCATTGGATTAAAGCTACTGTGGCACATTAGCGCGGTTTTGGCCAGCTGTGCTAATGCACAGTAGAATTAGTTCAATGTGCAATAAGCATCTCATGCAGATGCGACCAAAGAGACACATCTTGTATTGCTGGCAAAATACAGGTTCCTGTGCATTTGATACTCACTAATAAGTAGTCCCTTACCAATAAATAAATAAATAAAATCTGAGGAACAAGAACAAATTTTAAATGAAGGCTCAATTGATAACCAGTTCTCTCCATCAATCCAGATCCAGTGCTTGTAACTCATTTTTTCCAGTTAACACATGGTTGAATAATATGAATACAGCAGTTTTTTCCTTACCGCAACCATTGATTTGCTAATCCTGTCTATCTACAGTTATCACACTCTAGATTACAGCAACTGTATGTTAGTTTGACACATGCTGACTTGTACAATAGCAGACTTGAAGATCAGACACACAGTATAGTCTAAGAGGCCCTACTTCAAAAAAGTGGGAAGAAGAAAAAGAACCAACCATATTGGTCATAGAGATAGGGAATGCCAGCCAGAGAAAAAGGCGAGTGCCTAAAACTGCCTACAGCCTGGCAGCCTGGGAGAGTTACCAACCAAGCACGAACTACCCTGAGCATTGACACAAGATATATTTAGTACCAACAGTGCTATATGGTTCCAAATTGAAGTGGAATAGGATTGGAGACAGGCAAAGAATACTAATTTTCTAGGATATAGCAATTATTATCTAGTAGGGGCACACCGATAAAGATAGAACTGGCTGGTACCGATGGCTGATTATTAGCCAGTCATATCAGCTGATACCAATCTGATAGCCAATATGCAGCCTGGCAGCTTGGAGAGCAGTGTCCAGCCAATAAGTCTGGGGAGAGGAGGGGAGGGGAACGGACATGGGGGAGAGAAGGGGGGGCAGAACAAGGCCTCCACGGTGAGGGAGGGAGCTGGGTTGGGTTGGGGCAGGGGCCAGAGTGGGACATGGGATGGAGCCATGGGCAATTTTTTGTGGGGGGAGTAGGAGGGGACATGGGGGGGGGGTCAGTTCCCTGTTGCTGTGCACACCCCCATGTGCCTCCCAGATTTGTGTGTAGGGGGAGGGCAGGCTGCCCACTGTGGGTTTGAGGCTGGGGGCTGCACCAGCCTCTTTCTGGTGGGGCGACTAGGCCGGGGCTGCACTAGGGTGAGGTGGGGTGGGTAGCAGTACTGTGAGGGGAGGACTATGGGGTGGGCTACAGCCATGTCAAAATTTGCCATAACCCTCCTGTAGTCCCCCATCCCAGTGCCTCTGCCTCCCGCCTTGCCCTCGCCCACCCCAAGCACAGCCCTGGCTCAGCCCCCTTGCCAGGAAGAGGGAGGCACAGGCCCCGGCCCCTAACCTGCAGCAGCCAGCCCATCCTTGCCATGCGCACAAATCTGGGGGCACGTATCCCCCATGCCTCCCCCAGGGGTCCACACAGAGGCAGGGAGCTGCCCCTCCTCCCTGGACTAGCCACCCGTGGCTCTGTCCTATGCCCCACCCCACCCTGGCTGTGCAACACCTACCCCAGCCCCACTCCCTCCCTCACTGTGGGGGCCTCAATCTGCCCCCCAATGCACCTTCCTTACCCCTCCCCCACCCAGACTTACTGGCCAAATGTTGTTCTCCAAGCTGCTGGGTTGCGTTCATGGTCACGTTCATGCTGTGTCTGGTCATGCAAATGGCATATATAGGTGACGTTATTGGCCTCATCGGCCAAGAAAAGCCAATTGCCAATTGGGTCAATTTTCTTTTTATCGGTGCCAATATGATATGGACCAATATATTGGTGCACCTCTATTGTTTAGCAATAAGATACCAATGATCCAAAACTCCAGTTTGGGCATGGAGACCCATAAGGTGGAAGGGAGGGAGGTGGTGGGAAACTTTGGTCACTAATTAACTGGACAGGATTTTAACTGGTAGCCTCTCAAATTCATGGCTATTCCCTTAGCCCATGAGGCAGATTTAAAAAAATGAATGAATAGCTAAATGAGTTGTAAATAATAGCTAAATGTTTGTTGTAGAGTGAAATAACATCTTCTGGCTAAAGTATCTCTACAATTTGTGTAAAATGAAATGATATTCCATCCCCCCCATTTAATTATTTGACAAGCTGAGAGAATTAAACCATGAGTCATTGATTCTTCTGTTTTGTTTTTTTAGCTTCGCTCCAGAAATCTATGATTGGGGACATCAGAACAACAGCTTCATGGCTTATATAGGGTCACTGCAGCAAGATTCAACATTGGACACAGATCGACCAAGCCCTTTGTAGCTTCAGTCAACTACAGCATTCTAGGATATTCCATATGAAAAAACCCAAAAACATGAAGCATAGCAATTGTTCTTCAACTGTGGGTTTTTAGAGCACTGTTCCTGGACATGACTGCCACAGGCTTTCCACAGTTCAAGAAGTAGACAGGTAGTGGTTTAGCTTTGTGAAACCACATTTTAGTTAATACCTTGCTCTAAGTCCTGCTAGTTTTGACTCTGATCCCACAAAGGTTTCCAAATGTGCTTAACTTGATGTATGTGAAGAGCTCCATTGCAGGACAAGAGCCTTAGCAGGCATAATTTAATCATTTTCTGTCATTTAAAAAGATAGATGTTGTGCAACTTAAATGATGCCAGAGTATACACATTCTTTTCTGAGAAATTTTACACAGTGTATATGAAGTTCTTTTTAAGTATATTTCATTTTATCAAACACACCGTACAATACATACAGCAGAGATGCCTAAACTGCATGAGACAATTGACATTCAATCTTAATCACACAACCTTAGAGCCCTGAAAGTGTCACTCCCAGTTTAAATGACAATAGTTTTCAAGTTGTAGCAACATTTTGCTCTTCAATTCACAACATTTAGTACTGGAATATGCGGCAAGTAAAATGTTCACAAGGCTGACAGAAGCTGTTACACTGAAGATTGTGGTCTGGTAGATCGTCTTCCTCTGAAGAGATACGTTTTGGTTCACATTTCCTCAGCACCTGCTGGAATAATCCTGAAATAGGACGGACTGCTTCTGCAAAAGTGGTGGCAAACTCAGCTAAAAGCTCCCATTGGTCAGACCCTGCTGTCTGACAGATGTAGCACTTTAGATAGACTAAAATGTATAAGTACCCTTGAAACAGTAAATTCCATTCTTATTGTCTCCAGTGAATAGCCAGCCTGGGTACTTTTTAATTTAAGTTTTTTAAAAGGTATCTCATCTAAAAAAATATTCCATATCTGTCTACCACCTACACAGATGTGGATTTGTAACTCTCTTTCAGCTTCCCACATAGGAAGTAAGGAAGGAAGCCTACTTCAAATAAAAAATAGTTAAACTGTTACCAGTCTCAGACTATCGTATGACAAAGAACACAAAAGGGACCTTGCTTGTAGAACGTGTTTTGAGTTGTCAGAAGGTTCTGTGGGAAATGACAGCTGCCAGAGAAGTGAAAGGCTCAACACGCAGAGGTCATTGCTACAGGCTAGAAGACCGCTTATAAAAAGTAATTAGTGCCTTAGGGTAACTGCAGTTCATCTAAGGTTCTGCACTCACTGTGCTTACATTCAAGTTTGGAGTGTTGTTGCCAGTCCCCACCTGCTAGGGACATGCCTGTGTGCTTCCTCCCAAGAGGCGGCAGAAAGGAAAGAGCAGGGTCAACACTCTCTCTGTCCTTTAGACTTTTCAGAGTGCAAGAAGTAGGGGAGTCAGTGACAACGGGGGTGGAAGGATGGGTGGGAAGGAGGGTGGTGCTGGACACATGCTGATAATGGATCTCAAAGGCGACTTTGGGTGAGTAACCGTTTTTTATTCTATGCATCCTTATCTCTCTCTTCCACTCTCAGTGGCTCCAAAGCAGCAACTACCTGTGAAGAATCTGGGTGCTTGGAGTGTGTCTGAGTAGAAACTAAAACAGCTGTGCAGAAACAGGCATCCATTCTGTATGCCCCTAGCAGCAAAGAGTGGCTTGCAAATAAATGCAAACCAATTCCCAGACAACTACAATTACATTTCAAAGAGGGGAACATGTCCAAAAGTCACAGAACCTAAGGTAGTATGGAGCAAGCTACAATCTGACCAGAAGGCTATTCTTTAGCTAGCTGACAATATAGCTTAATAAAATCTGAGATCTGTTCTGCCTTCAAAAAGGCAAACCATAACCCTGGACAGAACCCAGATGATTTATTTTACCCACGTAGAATGAAAAGGCTCCAGCTACATTTAAAGTGTGGTGTCCCACCTTCTCTTGGCTACTGTGTGGCATAGGGAAGAGCATAAATGAGTCTTGAGGAGCAAGTTTGGATGGGCCCAAGGTAAGTATAGCCTTGTTTTTGCAAAAGAGAGAAGGCCTGCTTTGATTGCTTGCAGTTCACCATGTTATAGTAAATGCAGTGGTCCTGGGAATGAGAGAGGGGCAAGGTTTGTTTAGCAACTTTTCTTTTATTGGATCCTCTCCCAACTATACAGATTTCCAAATGAACCTTGCTTCTCAAGTACTTCCTCATTTCTTGAGAGCTGATTGCTGCCAAGATTTTCATGTTCACTGACAGCGTAAGACACACAGTGCCTAAAAGGGAGTGGGTGGGAATCCATCAGCTCAGTCAGGATCACTCATAAATCACAAGAGCAAAGGAAGTTTCAGGCCTAGGAGCTATATTTGCAATGAGGTTGTGTGTTATTGAGCTGTTATGAGAACCCTGTGACTTGTATTAGGGAGCAGCAAACCAAGACATCCACCAGGTGAATTTTCATGAAATTAACCTAAATTTGCATTCCTTATATTAGAAGAAGGACGTAGTCGAACAACAGTGAGGATTCTCAATCATGGCAGAGAGGCAATGGTGCTTTGGCAAGCCTTTTCCCATGTGATGGCAGAAGTCTCTCTTGTAGGATCCTATTTTGAATACAAACCCTCCAGATTTCTCTGGAACAAATACTCTCAGTGTTAGCTAATGAGCCAAGCTGTGACATAGAGAGGCTGGATCTGTATAGGTGATCTGTATAAGTGATCTATAGCGGTTTTACTTACTAACTTTTACTTACTTACACTTACTTAGCGGTTTTGCAGAAACTGTGAAATCTGGAACTGTCCACAAAATCAACAACAACAAAAAACAAAATTAAAATTAAATGCTGGCACCCCAGTGGGAGCCAGTGATCCTCACTGCCAGTGGGGTGGGGTGGCATGAAGACGGGATGGCAGCTACCCCCTCATCCTTCCTTCCCCCACTGGGGTCTCTCCACCAATCAGCACAGGGGGTCAGGGAACCGTGAAAAGCAGCCACCAGTTAAGATGGTGGTTGCCTTTTCATCTGTCCTCCTTAGGGCCTCTCCACCAATCAGCACTGAGTGGGGGGCTCTCCACCAACCAGTGCCAAAGGGCAGGGCTGCTGTGAAATGCCTACATAGTGAAGAAGAGGCTGCACGGGGAGACCACACCGTGCATCACATCCACACTTACAGGATTCCAGATTTCTCCTTTGTATCAATAAATTCAATAACATGTTCCTCAATAAGACATTTCCTTCAATTTTTCTGTATCCCCAAAATAACAGTAATTTGTTCTCTGTGGGATACAGTTGAACATGATGGAAAAATATTTAGCTCTTAATGTTGGAAATTATTTCTGACCTGACATAAAAACCCATTAGCTGAATGAGCTCATTTTGTCTAGTTGACAAAGTATGTAAAAGACATTCTAATTTTTTGTATTTCAATATATGATCTGCTAAAGTTAGATTGTAATAGCTAACCAGCTCCAGTGTGTTCAGGAACAAACCACTGCGCGGTTTCCCAGTCTTATCCATAAACCCTCTTAAGGCTAGATTGTTTTTAACACAGAAGAAAAGGATGTCAGCAATCACTTGGAGAATGCTTCAACATTTTCACTTGTCTGTCCTGAATAATCTTTGTGTATCATCATGATCTATCAAGCCCCCTCATTTTTGTCTTTTATTGAAGTCCTTCCGTGTTGTATAGTTTTTCCTGTGTTACACTGAGTTTTTGTTTTCAGGTATTCTAGGATGCAAGTGCTCCCTCTCACAAAATCCTCTCAAAACTAATAAAAGCCTCCATCTTAAAAGGAGTTAGGTTCCCCTCCAACATGACTAATTGGAAAGCTGCTCCACAACCTCATTGCTGATACTTATGAATCCTCTAATTTCTAGCCTAAATTTATTAAAGGATGGTTTATACCTGTTTGTTTTTGTAACACTGTCATTAATAGGGTTGTAAGGCATTTGAAGGGTCATCTAGTCCAACTTCTTGCACAAATGCAGAATGCACTATTCCTAAATGATTCCTGCCGAGCTTATACAGCTGGTTCTTGAAAACCCTCCAATTTTTCCTTATTGGTTAGAACAAGAGCCAAAGGATACAATTAGAGAGTTATCATCAATTTCTTGAAACAGAAAGTTGTTCTCAACACATTAAGCATTTACTGAACATTTTAGGCTTTTCTTATTATTCTCCCAGGGATAGCAGGCAAATTACAATCCCTTCTATCACTTCATTAGTTTGGCTGTTTTTGTTATCTCCTTAAAAATACCTCATTTGACTTCTTTCTGATTTGGTGGTCTATAGTAGACCCCCCCCATAATATCACAATTGTTTCCTCCCCCCACCTTTTGTCTTCACCTAGATACATAGGCAAGTACATGGGGGTGCACACTGCAGCCACCTGCAGAAGGTCCCCACTTGGCCTGCTCTTACCGCAACCACCTGCATTGCCGCCTGTGGGCAGTCACTGTGCCCCCCCCCAGCCTCAGGAGGCATGTGTTACCTATGCCTAGATACACTCAGATTTGCTGCTTTCTTCATTCTGCTTCTGGGAACAAGCATACATGTTCCGGACAAACAGAGCAGCACTACCTGCTTTTTGCTCCCCGAATCCTGCTCCCAAAACAATGTCTATTTCCTTTAACTGAAATCGTTCTTGCTACTTCTCCTTCCCCATTATTCCTCTACACTCATCCTGCAATAGACTAGTACCTCTAGGTCTTTCTGCCCCTCAGTCACTTCTGACCAATGAATTCCTAGCTTATCCTATAATTTATGGTTATTAGTTTTCTAGTGTGTAACCTTGCACTATTACTGAAATTCATCCTATTTCTACTACTGCAGTTCACAAGCTCATCCAGTTCATTCTAGGATAGACCAATCCTCCTCCTTACTAACAATGCCTTACAACTTTGTCTTATTAGCAAATTTAATCAGTGCATTCCTACTTTTTGTGCCAATGTCATTAAAGAAAATATTAAATAATCCAAAACCTGATACTGGCGAAACTCTTCGAAAAATCTTTCCCACCTCTGAAACTCCCTCTTTCTATACAAACTGTTGCCATCTCCCTTTTATACAGTTCTTTAGCCAGATTGAATTTTTCTCCTCATCTCCATTTTCTCCATCTTACATTGTCATAACTTTTCCCATGTGGCACTGTATCAAAGGCTGTGCTGAAATCCAGAGAGATAAAATCTTTCATTTTCTTTGCCTTGAAATCAGTTGACTTGGTTTGGTTAGGAATCTACTTTTGGTAAAATCCATGGCACATTTTCCTATTTTATCGCATTTTCCATTTGCACCCATGTCTTTATTTTTTCCTGTAGAAAATTAGTCTGTTTTAAGGGCCTCAACATTTGCCTGAAGGGATAGCTAGGGATAGAGGATGTCATACTTCAGCTTTAGATAAGCTTTGTCAGTCTCTGATGATATTCTTATAAGCAAGCTGAGGAAATTGTTTGATATCAGCCAGTATCAAGTGGAGTGCCCCAGCAGTTGGTCCTGGAGCTGTTTTTTTTCAATATCTTCATCAATGTCTTGGAAGATGGCATAGAGTGCACCCTCAGCAGGATCGTGAATGACATCAAGCTGGGGGGAATAGTAGATGTGTTGGAGGGTAGGGCTAGGATTCAGAGAGACTTTGACAAATTGGAGGATTGGGCCAAAAGAAATCTCATGAGGTTCAGCAAGGACAAGTGCAAAGTCCTGCATTTAGGACAGAACAATCCCATGCACCAGTACAGGCTGGGGGCCGACTGGCTATGCAGCAGCTCTGCCAAAAAGGACCTGGGGCTACATTGGATAGTAAGCTGAATATAACCAAACAGTATGCCCTTGTTGCAAAGATTGCTAATGGCATACTGGGCTGCACTAGTAGGATCATTGCTAGCAGATCAAAGGAAGTGATTCTTCCCCTCTATTCAGCACTGGTGAGGCCACATCTGGAGTACTGTGTCCAGTTTTGGGCCCCCTGCTACAGAAAGGATGTGGACAAATTAGAGAGAGTCCAGTGGAGGGCAACAAAAATGGTTTGGGGGCTGGAGCAACCATGACTTCTGAGGA